TCGGCAATGCGCTCCTCTGYGCACGCACAGCGCTGGTCGCACAGGAGCACCTGCTCCCTGCTCCTGCACCTGCCTCTCTGGGAGCCTAATGCTCTTGGCACCTGGAGCAAAAGGCTCCAGGGCCACGGAGTGGAGAGGAGTCCTGTTTATTAGGGCTTTTTGCACAACTCTCCGTGAAGAAATGGCACGGGTGCAACTGGGTAACAAAAGAACCGTGGTTATTAAACACTTGCAAAGCCAAAATGCAATCTTAAGTGGCTGAAAAAAAAAGTTAGAGTATGGTGGATGATGTCAGAAGGTTCAAGAACCCCTTAAATGTGCAAATCATCTCCTTTCCCTTCMAAGTACAATGTGCACTGATAGTTTTGAGTTACTGTTGTTGAGAGATACATCAATCATCATTTGTCCTTTTGTGAYATGATGGTGACAACCGAATGTAGTCCATCTCATCTATTTATTTTTACAGAAAAATTGGAACTCTTCAGGTAAGACTACTTCATTTCATTTACAAACAGCACACAAGTGCCAATCGTTGAAAATAAATCTTAAAGTCTCGCCCTGAATGCTTTGAATTAGTGAAGTTAATACAGGRTATATCAGTCTATTTAGAGTAGGAGTGAGCAAGTTCAAACTTATGTCCCGGGCACCTTCTGGAGATTTGCTGCTGCCGTGTGCTCGGCTGTTCTGAAGTACGCAGGAGCAGCATGTTGGAACACGCACCRTGTTTGCTGGCAGCCTCCTCTCTCCTTTACCATTTGCTCTATCAGTCTGGTCAGCACAGCCTGCGTTCACTGCATCATTTCCAAATTACTTTTTCTTTCTAGCTCCTGAATTTGTCAGTGCCTGACAACAACTGCAGCTGTTCTGGGACTTAAATATTCGAAAACACTGCTATACGCTCAGCAGTTCTTTTCAAGTAAACAAAGTTGGAAACAATTTTCCTGCCTCTTCATCCATCAGTGACATATACTTAGAAATATTTTTAATTTTAATCATACTGTAACATTTGTCAAAAGCAAGGATTTCACTGCAAGGCACCTTGCCAGTATCCTTGCTTACTTTGACCCGTAGCAAACACTAGTGAGCTGCGTTTGGTCTGTTGTGCTTAGTCCCAGTCCAGGCACAATGATGCCATAATAATTTGTGATTTTACAGCCCATCTAAATCTTTACTCTCTCTTYCCACATATTAAACGGGCTTCTGGTGACAGATGTGGGTTCGGGTGGTTCACCTGTTCCTCCTCAACTCGCTTTAATTTACTCCTGTGCCTTGCTACACCCTGTACTCTTACAGAATTACCCTCATGGCCGAAGTTCGCTTTTTCAATGCATGTTTCRGTTTCACTATGGGTCTTTAGGACTGGACCTCTCAATCCATAAGCATTTAATTTAGAATTATTTGATTGAGAGGCCAGGCTCCTCCAGCAGGGTCAGCAGTCATCTCTACAGAAAAGAAAGACTTTTTTTCCTATTTCACACACTGCAGGAAGTAGAAAAAGTCCCTAACTGAAAAATATATCTTTTATTGTGGATAATTATCTGTATTTAAGAGAATCAATGGTGGTTTTTCATGACTTCGTTTGAAAATAAATACCAGGTGTTTTACCTATGTTATTTTATCTTTCTTAGGCAAAAAAAAAATTACTGGAAAGGATACCAGAGGCCAAAGGCATCCCAAAAATATCAAAATCTGAAACAAAAAAGTATGTATATCCTAAATGTGATGTATTAAAATACTATCCCTGTGTTTTTCTTCAGTGATGCTTATTAATCTATGTGTAAACAACACATTCACTGAAAATGTTTTGAGTCTATTTTTTTTTTTTTCATTTAAAGGAATCAAACTGCTCTGCACCTGCCTTTTTGGACCAAATTTTGGATAGCGATATAACTATATATCTTATAAACTATATATCTTATATAATGGAGTTCTAGCATATATATGGAATTTCTTTCCCCAGAAATAAGGTTTTGTAAGATTCCCAGGTCTTTCAAGCCCAGGTCTTAATAATTCTATATATATAAATATTATACAAAAATTAAAACACACACACACATATATTCATATAAAAATAAAAATTATTTCTAAATTTGTRTATTAAAAATATTATTTCAAACTGTGATTACATATAAAGATGGAGAGCGGCTAAACTAATTTACTATCCACCTGCATGAAGGGTTAGGATTGAAGACCAACACGAAACCCCGTGTGTTCCGCTGGACAAATGCTGCGTTGTCTCGATACAAACGGCTGTAGCGAAACAGCGCTCCCTCATGTCCAGCGAGAGACTTGGAAGTCCAAAAGCTCCGTTCTTCCCGATATTCTCGGACGGATTGTTCAACAACCTTCTGAAAATTTCAGTCAATAATAAGCAAAGTAGAGAACCAGTTAAGTCCACTATGTCATGCAGAGGACTTAGGAGTCAGGTTGTGTTTCCTTACTGTCACTGTGCTCAGGCATGAACCATGCTACATTGTTGTTTTTCCATCGTGTTTCCAAGTTGAATCCTTGAGTCCTCCCCATCTCAACAATCCTACCTCAGGCTGCCGAGTCCTGCGAGGAAAGAAAGGTGATGTTCCAGATATTCTCACAGCTCCGTTTCCTCCAAGTCTCATCCAACCTTATGCAATGGGTCTTAATCAGAGCAGAGACCTGAGTCCTGGCAGGCTGGGGACAGTACACTGGAGGAAGAGTCACCATTCCTGTTCAACAACTTGATTGTGACAGATTTTGGAGTGGAAAAAGAAATCTTTTAATATTTTGTTGCAGAACCACCAGCCCAAAAAATTATTTTACAAGTGGGAGACCTACAGGAAGCATTGTATGGGTAAAGACCGACATTGTAAGTCACTTTTTATTGTTGTCAAGATGTGAAGAATAAGGAAGCATACATGTCACAATTATCATTGCAGCCTTATGCTTTGCAATAGGGGGAAAAAAAAAGAAAAGAAGATTTTTCCTGGACTTAAAAAAATTTAGATGCTTATTTAGAAGTTTCTGTAAGCTGCCCTTCCTCTGTTTTTCATAGTTATCAAATGAACAGTAGTCAATTGATGAGTGCTTTGAATTCTTTAGATAAAAACATGGAAAAATAGGAACAATTAATGCAGGATAATATTCACTGCGAATATGTGTCTAAGAAGAGAGAACCTCAAAGTGACAGACTTTTGCTCTGCTGAAGTATTTGGTATTATCTCCACCCTGCTGCCAAGTTTCCTGATTTCAGCCTATTCCATGGAGTTGTTCGTTGGTACATTTACCACTTGGTATGTTTTTTATCTCTCCCTCTGATCAGAAACTTGATCTTTCCCTGAAGATATTCACTAACTCAGAGCACCTAAATAATCTAACAAATTATTAATGAAAGATGAGGAGAGTGTAAAGAGGCCTCTCTTCTCATTACTGTAACAAATTAGGCCAGTTACTTTAGTTGGCCTGCACAGGGAGAAACCATGAAAATGGATTTCTCTTTTGCCATCTTCCCAGGATAAACCTTTAGCTCTCATAAGAAAAGGCAACAGTAAGATTTTACACTGAATCTTATTAGTTAAAGAATTTTTTTCGTTCTTGTTTTCACATTTCAATAGACTGCCTTAGACTAATTGCATACTACTACTGCATTAAGTGCCCCTGTGGAAAGGTAGCAGCAGGGTATCCTGCAGCTCTATGTGTAATGATAYTCAGTCAGGTATGTCTTCTCCTTTGTGTCCTATGTCCCCTGGGGAGATGTTTGTCATCCTGGGGAGATGTTTAAATCATAGAATCATGGAATGGTTTGCGTTTGAAGGCAACTTAAAGGTCATCTCATTCCAACCCCCAGCCGTGGGCAGGGAGGGACACTTCCCACTAGAGGAGGTGATCAGAGCCCAATCCAACCTGGGCTTGAACACTTCCAGGGATGGGGCATTCACAGCTTCTCTGA